GAGAGAGAGAGAGAGAGAGAGAGAGAGAGAGAGAGAGAGAGAGAGAGAGAGTATATTATAGCATCAAACAGAAACATAGATACCTAGAAGAATCATCATTTTTGTTCAGCTGAATTCTTTGTTTTACGACCTTCTAGAATGAAACAGCCGATTTAAAGGAAAAATGAAACATCTCGATCAGAACAGCCTGAAAAAGGACAAATTACTCGGAGGTTAAAGCCGTCATCAAAATATGGCCAGACACAATGTTATAGCCACCCTAACCCCTACTACGTCTTCTCTCATCGACAGCAGGTTGTTCTTTTCATACTCAGAGCAGGAAAAGACATCATCTCTACACATAGTTTAGGATTAGCAACTCATGACAGTGTTTATGCGAAACCGGCAGCCAAACAGCAAATCAATATAATTATGAGAGCGACCGTGTCACTAAACGCCACAATCCTTCTGTATACTTAAATACCACGTGGGACCACACTGGAAAGGACAATTTATTACCCATATTGTCGGTATTTAGTGGAGATTTAGAGTGAAACAAAAATTCTCAGAAAAAATAAAAAAGACAAAACAAAACGAAAAACAAAGCAAAAACAACCCCCCCCCCCAAATCCCAAAGAAATAAACAAACAAGAAAAAAAGCATTTAGAACAAAAAAAGACAGCAAAAGGGTACGTCGGATAGAGAGCGGTAAGTTTCAACAAGAAACATTCTTCTGAAGTCCACTATAAAATTAAGTTTCAGTTTTATTCCCTCTTGCAAAACACATGGAAAGTGTCTATGTTCGACTTTCGTTTATTTTCGTAGTCTGCTTCTGCTAAACAAAATAGATATATGACATTTATTGTTAATTCCATTTCACAACGAAAGAATTCAACCAGGTGCCCAGATGAAAATGTGCATGGGGAGTACCGATTTGATTCACAACGCAGGCATCTTGTAGACAAAGAAGACAAACCTTTTTCTTCATCTTCAGCAGCCAGTTCTCATGTTTCGGGGATGAATTTGCAATGTGAAGGAGGTGTTAGTTACTGGTTTTCGCACCATTCATTTAACCAAGTCTTGAACACTGCAACCTGTTTGTGTAAAAGAAAAAGGTACACTTGTAATTATATTTTGGAAATGAAAAGTGAGTTATTGTAACTGATGAAACGTATCTGTCTTAAAAAATTAGTCGTCGTCACCCCTTAATTTAAACGTGACACCTGTTATTTTCTTTTGATCCACTCGAAAAGCAAAGCAGATATTCAGTGTACAAGAAACCAATTACGAGCATCGGATAATATTGAGTTTCGAGTAGGAAAAATACTTAAATTAAGTAGAATTACATTGTGGATAAAGCCCCGTCCTACCACACCTAAAATTGTCACTAACAACAGACATGCATCTACAGAGACTGTTAAGCGCATATTACTTGCCTTTGGCGCTGGAATTAATTGTGCTAAACAAATGCTAGGGAACATGTCATAATAATGATATAATGGTATAGTAAAAAAATTAATTGGCCAGATAAATGTAGATAGAAAACGTCACTCTGAAGAAAAATGTAATTTGTTCTTCCAATTTGGAAGGCTGAACAAAGCCAGAGGAAACTCTGAAGTAATATTTAATTAAGACAAGTCGAGCTCCTCAGGCAACATTTATTCTGTATCTCAATTTCATTATTGAATGAAAAGGTGCGTGTACATGTGCGTGTATTTAAATGGTGTGAAGACACCCACAACAAAGAAGCAAAGCATATCTGTGAACGTCATAAATTGCAGGTCTTTCTGGTCTTGGTTATTTTGGATTGTGCAAAAGTGAAAAAAAACAACAGCTGAACGGGTAAATAGACATTGCGCGAAAATACAGGAGGAACGATCTCGTCCTATGCACCACTACAGCGTACGATGGCATCTTCCACGTCTGGTATCTTCGATGGTATCTTCCTTGTCACTTTCTCTTTGAATGCAAGTAAGATGGAAGACATGACGCCATCTTCCGCTAAATTCGTACCTTTAGTCAGTAGCGAAGAGCGGGGAGTCTCAGAAGTAGTCAACTTCGTGGTCATCTCTGGACTTCTCAGTTTGATGGGCATCGTAACCAACGTCATCAATATAGTGGTTTTTGCAAAGCTTGGGTTCCAAGACTCCATGAATATTAGTCTTATGGGTGAGAATAAATAATACTTGTATTATGATACAGTTACTTTAAACCCCCAAATCTAGATACTTCTAAGCATATGTCTTCGTTTCTCTTTCTATCTCTCTCTCTTTCTCTCTCTCGCTCTCCCTCTCTCGCTCTCCCGCGGTCTCTCTCTCACTTGCACACGTACACAAACACACACAAACACACACACACACACACACACACACACACACACACACACACACACACACACACACACACACATATGCGCACACACACAGCCACAATCATACACAGAGGTAATAAAAAATACGAAGTACCTTCAAAAGTCTTGTTCAATTTCATTTTTATTTCCCTTCTGATATTACTTCCGTCCTGCAAAGTACAGACATGAACGTTCAAGAACGTTCGAACACTCTGTCTTACCTTCCTCTCTTGGTCTCTCACTCGTTCTCTCGCAAATCTCTTTTTGTTTCTCTGACTATCTCTGTTTTTTAAAATTCTATAACTTTCTGAGCCTTCATTCCCCGAACCTGCAATATTACAATTACGAGTCCTAAACGCATTAATTTTTTTTTTATCCAAATGAGACAAAATACATGACATGGTGGGAATATCAATTTATTCCTCTGTTGTACTGATATGCTAGCTGAGTTTATCTGGAACAGAAAGGAACTACTGCACTCTCTCTCTCTCCTATCAACATTTTCACCCCACAGTTTTTTCTAGTTCCAAAAGGTTTATACCAGCATTTACATGCACGAACATACACGTATAAGTCTTTACACACAGAAACACACGCTCACACACACAAAAAACAACAACACACATACGTACACACACATATCTTCTGTAAGTAAAGTGTAGGTCTAGACTTGAATCATGGTTCATTGTTAATTGTTTCAGGAAGCAACATCCCTGAATTCTGGACATGTCCATTGATGCTCCGTTGCTCTCTCCAAAATGTCGCTGAACGTCCTTCTACTGATTGTGCCAGTGCATATCTATCTAGTTGAACGTTCTTATGTTCTTTCCTGCAAGGATGCCAGATTTTCTGCTTCCTCTTTGGATTCCCAAAACCATCATCCTCTCCAAAGAAGTAGTGGCCTCTGTCTCCTTATCTTCCTCTTCAATCAGGTGGCGAGAGAGACATTTTAGGAGCTGGACCTTGTCTGGTTGAACCGTGCTGTCAACTGAGGTGGCCTCACCAGCTAGTCTGTCGGCTTTTTCATTTCCCTTAACGCCTTCACAGACATGGCCAAAAATCCATGTGAGCGATCGTATTGGCGTTGTTCGATCAGTTGAATCTATTCTGGTGTCAGGAAACCTTTTTAAAATCCTTCTGAGGGCACACATGGAATATGTGATGGGAACAGCATGGATTGTGTGAGGGCGATCTTGGGCCATCCATTCAAGCGCTTTCGTGATGGCTTAAATTTCCATTCCCCTACTTGATGTAGCCCCGCTGCAGGCTCCAGATGCACTGTGGACGATTTTATAGTTGGCGAATGCAACAAATCCTCTTTTCACTGAGTCATCTGTATAAATTACAGAATCCCCTGCTTTTGAGTTTTTGTCAACAATCTCGTTGATATCACTCTCGTTGATAAAAGCCGCAACATTTCTTCTGTCTCTCCCCTTGCTTATTTTGACCATGGTGAGGTTCCCGTATTTTTCCTTCACCTGTTCCCATTCTTCGCCAAGTGGTAGACTTTCAGGTACACAGATTGTTCCGAGAGAATCCTCTGCTTCTTTTGATTCTGCCTCCTTTGTTGTCATGAAGTGCTTTGTGAAGTGGATGATCTTCCCTGCCTATTACATTTAGACATCTTTGCTTGGGCTATCCAATGGCGTACTCTGATGTCACTTAAACCTAGCAAGTAGCGCATGCTCAATATTGGAGTGTCCTTGGTGCAGCCAAGCACTGCTCTCATTGCCTCATTCTGCACTCGATCTGTGTGTCGAACAGCGTGAAACAGCAACATCCATGATCAATGACAGATAAGACGACCAGCTGTAGCATCAAGAAGAACACTTTCGGTGGAATCAGAGTGGCTGCCATAGTCTTGAGAGCACTCACACCTCGTTTGGCCTTTGTAACCCCATGATCCACAATATGCTTATTGAAGGACAACGAGCTGTCGAAGACGATTCCCAGATACGTCAGCTCTGGTTGTCTGTCGATAATCTCATAGTTACAAGTGATTGGTGGAGTTATGCCTTGGACAACCCTGTTGTCGAGGGAACACCAAAGTACCTGTGCTTTTGAAGAATTGATAACTGCTTCCTTTTGATTGCACCCTTAAAATTTAACAACTGAATGAAGTTTTTTTTTCAATGTTCCTTGCCATCTGTAGTCTGTCATCTCCGTGCTCGTATGCCATTGTCATTCACACGTCCAGATTCCTTCTGATACATCAGTACCTGTGCAGTGTACACATTGAAAAGCACAGGAGAGAGGGGGGATCCTTGGGGCAATCCTGGAGAAATTGATACGGGATCTGAAGTCCATTCACCCTGTCGCGTCGCGAAAGGAGCATTTTCTCTGTCGCTCCTGCGTCGTTTCCTTTTTTGATTTTTTAAACTTTTGCTCATGCTTGGTTTTTCTTTGTTAGGGACGACAACTTTGCCCTGACTGATACCTTTACCAGGGAAGGGACAGGAGATATTTTTACAGAGTTTATACGCCTGGCGACGTCCCTCTCGCTTACCAGACGCCCACATTAGCGACTACTGAGTCCTGTAACCATTCATCCTATTAGCACGTAGGTACACCGTGAGATTAGGATTTGTGTAAGGCTGATTGACCCACAGTCTTGCATCCCTTTGGCAGACGCTGACCCACAAGACTGGTGTCTCTTTATCGAGGTATCGCTCCTCTAGATCAGTTGTGTTCTGTTCCAGAACCGCATGGTTTAGATAAACAGGTGACACCTCATGAAGGATGTGACGTTTCGCTCCTCATGCACAAGGGTCTTGAGAAGTATAGAGGTTTGACAGATCAAAGTGGACTAACAGCTAAAGATGCGCGCCACTACCACCAGAACCTTGAAGAGAGTGGGGGAGAAGCAACTGTGCTCACTGCTCATAATCCTTTGTGCGTTCTGCTCTTGGCATCACCCAAACCATACAGGAAACAAAAAGTTAGTTTTTAATTCACACCTCAGTTGTCACGCTACGACAGTCACACTAATACTCGGCGAACAGAAACCAAACAGAAATACTCAATGAATGTTGATGCTGAACTGAATGACAAACCAAAATCCTGAGGAGACAGCCTAGGGAAGGACTTTACTCTTAACTTGTTTGAGCATTAAATTGTGTATGCATGTACAACTATGCAGCATTTGCTCTCCTCAGCTGATCTTACCACATGATAAATGATTTATAGTGGTCATAAACAACAGTAGCTCTGATCGTATTATAAGGGCAGATAGTAGGCCTACTCAGTGAGCAAATAATTTAAGCTATGGAACCAGTCGCATTGTTGACTGTTAAGCGGATGGCAGATAACAGAAACATTTATAATTTGTACCAAACTGTTTGAATATCATTTATAATGTGACTTGAATCATATTCCTTAACCGTGCCATGTTATGGCAGTCGCTCTTGCCCTCCGTAAAAACTTCAATGCAAAGCGCGCTCACATAGGCGCCCAAATGAAGTGCTAAACATCAGTCTCCCTGTGTCCTTATAGTAGAGAGTAGGCACAACTCTACGTTACTCTTAATTTTGTTCCAAATAATTTTGTCAAATGGATGGTGCGCACCATAGTGAACCTGGATATATTTTAGTATAATAATTGCTAATACATCTTGGCCTATGCTAGCCTAGCACACAACTCCTAGCCTTTGGTTTGTTTTGATTGCAAAGTTTAAAATCAAAGTCGTCTCTTTTCTCACGAGAACATGTCATATAAATGCAGTTTTTTCATTTTTCAACTTTTGAACTGTAAGCATGTGCACTCAGTTATTTATGTGAATTTTAATAATAATAGTAATACTATCTCTCTAGTACATCCTTGAGTAAAGACAATCCCACACAGCTTACCCAGACACCCTCGCACACATTAATGAATTCACACAGTTATAAATTCTTACAGAACAGAACAGCATGAATAAACGATATTGAGAGAACATAATAGATACTAAGAGAACATAATGATATTTGCATTGGGAATATCGGAAATTACAGATTGAAGTTGGACTGAAACAAAATATGCGTTTTAAGTGCTGATTAAAATTTTTATAAAGAGGTAGACTCTCGTAGATGAGCTGGTAAAGCGTTCCACAAGGAGGGGCGTGGTGTGAAAGAGCTCTCCCTCCGAGTCTCTGACTTTTGCTTTGGACATGTCTTAAAAGTGTTTTCGTCGCCGATCTTAAAGGCCGAGATGGTATATATTCGATGATCATGTAAATAAGATATGATGGTGCAATGTTGTTGGCGCACTTAAAACAAAGAACAATTATTTTGTACTGAACCCGTGCTTTCACCAAGAACAAGTGCAGTTGAATTAGCATTTGTGTTATATTTCACAAGTGAGATATCAGCTTAGTCTATATAGATATAAGGATTTATTTTACCGAAAGTGCAATGCTAAAACAACTTCAAGTATGGTATAAACATATTTTAACAACAAACGGGATACTTTACAGCAACTGGAAGTTCAATACTTCAAGAGCTAAAAGGAGACACATTAACATCTAATCTGAGATTCACATATTATTATGCGGTGCATGAATGTCCTATAGCGGCAGGTGGGTTGTAAAGAGAGTGGGGCTTGCCGTGATCAAGCAGTGAGATCCATTGAAACAAGAAAAATAGACTCACGTATTCGTCTTTATACAGGTAGATCTACATGGTTTGTGTCCTTCAGTTTTAATGCTGAGCAAATTTGACTATGAGTTTTTGGTTGAACGGTGCTTCCTTTATGATTAACCATTTGTGATTAAAATATCTACTTTGCTTTTCACCCACAACAGGATGCCAAAATTTGCTGTTTGAGGTGGCCCCAGTCTCTTGACAGTGAGCCTAGCTACACGGAATAAAGAACTAAAGCGAATTTCCAAAAAGCGTTCAGCACAATACATTGCTGCAAAGAAGGACAAAATTAAGATTAGATTCCAATTTAAAACTACTTCAACTCACTGATACAATACAACCTCGTTTGCCTCCCTGTTTATGTGATCTCTACACACAGAACAAAAGGGAACACAGTACGCAAGAGATCACCAACAGAAAACACGCTCAATACGTTATTCAAGTGTACACACACAATCTAAGCAAAGCTCAGAGACGACCCCTGCCAGTTGCTTTGTCTCGGCTTTGAGCCATGCAAGGTCAAGTCCCCAGGATATTCAAAATGTGGGAACCTAAGCGCCGGGGTGTAAGGGACAAACCAATGAAATTTCGTTCTCCGCAGCGGAAGGAACAGACTGAACAGAGCTATAAACGAAGTAAACAACAGTAGACGTTGAGACTAATCAGATCGCTTTTCGACTTACTATGCCTCAGAAATTTTGTTTGGGTGTTCGTGGAGTTTCGCATTTTTATTAGAATACGTTATGTTTTGTCCCTGAAAAAGTTTTTTTGAAATATTTTGTTTTGGTTTCAGGTAGAGAAGTAACATTTTGGTAAAGAAAGCCAGGTGTGGCTGAACCTGCAAGCCCCACCCCACAGGACGCCATTGTGAATGTCTCAGTTTTCTTGCTCCTAAATCAAACAACTGATCAAAGTGTTCCACTTTCAAAACTCCACCTTTGACTTTACTCCTTGTGTGGCCGTTATCGATTTTAATGTTTTCAAGTCTAACACAATCCTTTTCGACCACTGTATAGAAATCAAGATAATGGAATAAAAAACAACTAAAGGATGAATTTTAAAAATACAATATAATCAAAACAAATAAAACCAATAGAACTTCTCAAATATAATTTTCTCTGGTTTCAGGCCTTGCTGTATCCGACCTGTGCTCATTACTGCTCATGTTGTGGTGCAGTCTTAATTACAACCCGCTGATTGACAACTTTGGCCTGCCTGTTGTGCATTTCAATTTCGTATACTTGACTGGTGGCTGGCCACACACTTGCTTCGTCAGGTAGGATATTAACATCTTTCTGCTGTATTTTAAAAAATCCGGATAGATTACTTTTTACTAGTCTTCTTTAATTAATAATAATAATAGATGGCATTTGTATAGCGCAAATCCCCGCTCAACAGCAGGCTCTATGCGCTTTACACTATATTATTACCCCAGCAGACCATACAACACTCCGAAACATTCTCAGCTTCCCGAGAAGCATACAGTGCAAGCAGCTGATAAAGCGCTCAAGCACTAACAAACTGACAAGATCTTTCGCTGTCTATAGCTGGGTACCCATTCTCACCTGGGTGAAGTGAGGAAAATTCGTGTAAAGTGCCTTTCCCAAGGACACAACGTCGGGCCCTTGACGGGATTCGAACCCACGACCTTACGGTTGCGAGTCCGAGAGCCTATGTATGAGGGAGCCAGAAATAATACTGAGCGCCAATAAAAACGCAACACTTCGTTCGCAGAGTGAGAACATGGTTGTATTAAAGGAATATAGATTAAAAGTAGTGGTTTAAAAAAAAAATTTCAATTCAATTTCCAACAAATGTGAATCATTTGATAACACAAATCGAAGCTCAATAAAGATCTCTCACCCTTAGTAAATTGTATGGCCATCATTCATATTTATATATACTAAAACTCTTCTTCACGTGATTTTTATAACATTTTCAATGTTTTGTTGAGAAATTCTGGCCCATTTTCGCGCAGCGCGATCTCCCAATTGCTGCAGATTCGCAAAACGGCACACACTTTGCGGTTCAATTCATCCCTTATGAGTGTTGTTGAAGACATATCGGGTACGTACACTGGCCAGTCCATGACATTCATGTTATGATTTTCCAGGAACTAGTGTAGCTCGTTAAATGGGCAGTGTAAGGGCAGGAGTGTCGTGTTGGATGACTTAGGTATTCTGATTTTTTTCTTTGTGGTGTTTGGCACCATGAAGACGAAACTGATGTCGCGGCTTCGTAAATTGCAGTCCTAAATAAGGCGGTCTTGATCTAAGTCCTGTACTTACTGTTCCGCGCCTCATACTGATGAAAGAAACATTTTCACGCACTCCATTTATGTCGTGGGTCGTTAATTTTGAGAAACGGATAGATTTCGCAGATAAGACAGCAAAATCTGTCTCTCTTGAACAGGGCTGGTGTCTCGAGACTGTCCTATTCTTTGCCCATCCTGGGCATTTCAAGTGAACAAAAATCTTTGTATCTGTCGAGAACAATACAAGTACTGCATTTTAGCCGTATTGCTGCTTCTCAGGCAGATTTTCCGCCATGATCAAGGCGGAAGCGAAAGTTGTGATCAGCATCGCTAAGTTAAGGAGTCTTGTAATGAAAGAGATAAGCAAATTTGCTCGAATAAAGCTAGGACTTTTGTCATCTTCCAGGTAAATAACATTGTATTCTTTTATAATATATAGCACCTAATGAACACATTTTACTAAAGCATAGTTTACTGTATTCTGATGAAAAGTACTCGTGGAAATAACAAAAGTCATGCATGGGTGTGTGGACGAACAACTGGTCACATAAGTCTCCAAAAATCGTGATGGTCAGAGCATATTTACCTTTTTTATGACTTTTTGAAAACGTTGCGTTTTTAATGACGTTGAGTATACATTATTCCTGAGTGTAAACAACGCCCTCGTGGATGGCTTACTTTACAAGTACTTACTTTATCCACCCTTTTGTATCGTTAGATATCGAAGGGAGATGTAATGTTCGACCAAGGGCTAAGTGAGTGGCTTCTGTTGTTGATGCGTTATTCTTTTGAAACCTCCACTAACATTAGGTCTGCAATACTTTGGTGTAAAGAAAGTTCAAGGTAATTTTCTTTTACCCACTGCCTCCCTCATAATTTCCTATCTATGTAGATAGCATCTCTGTTACCTTGAATGGATATGATACGGTAGACTAATGTAGCATGTGGTAAAAATAAGCATCAGGAACCACCACTGAAGCGGATTTCATTGTTGTTGCTTACTTTGATGCACTCAAATACGCTGCAATGGCGTAGTTGTAGTGTTCGTAGAAATTTAGTCTCAGGCTTTCGTTAGGAAAATAACCCTTTCTTACCACGCAGTAAAGTAGACTAAACTGCTTCGGGCCTTTATTGTCGATGTGTCTCTGTCTGATGTCTATAACTTTCTCTTCAGCAGTTCCTTTGGGATTTTTAAATTAAAAAAACAATGACAAAGAAAAAACAAAACAAACCCTGTCAGGTCATTTAGGGGGCGGAATGTTTGGATTCTGTTCGTCACATCTGCAGAAAGACGGAATAACTAGACACAGGCTATAATAGCCTCTTTTTTCAGGATTTGATCGAATGTGCACTGCGTTCGACAGGAATCGGCCAAACAATTCAGCCATTCGTGTTGAAATATTAATTGTATCTGGCTGTTTTTCCAAACGAGTTATAGGACACCTCACATCCGTCCTTCCTCCTATTCCCACACACACTGCCAAATCAAGCAACGTTTTTTTTTTTACTTCATCATAAAAAATGCTTAAATAAATTCACCAATCAATCAGTTTTCTGTTGCAATGACGGATTTACTAAACCTTTGGCCTGTCTTATCTTTCCACAGAATTACTGGCTGCATTACCGCTTTCATCGCGTTCGAAAGATGTTTGTGTATCGCCTTACCTCTTAAGACCAAGAGGATTCTGACTTCACGAAGAACAAAGATAACAATTGTTTCTATTTTTATCCTCATGATTTGTATCTTTTCCCCTTTCTACTACTCGACCAGACTGTCTTGGGTACTGGATCCAGCCACAAACACCTCACTATTGTCTGCAACTTTTGCTGAAGAAAGAGAAATTGTGGATTCCATTGTGTTTATGATCCAGGGCGTAATATGTAACATGCTTTCCTTCATCACTGTCATCTGTTGCACCATCATTCTCGTTATCAAATTGAACAGTAAGACCAAATGGCGTCAAGCCACGGCCAGCAAAGGAGTCGGTGGAAAGGAGGAATTTGGGGCCAAAGAAAAAAAGGTTGTGAAGTCAGTCATACTCATCTCTACTATCTTTATAGTTTGTTTCATGCCAGGGGCGGTGACTTTCCTTGCAATGTTTCTGGTACCAGGATTCAATGCCGGAGGGAAATATGAAAACTTAAGTATTGTCGCTGCCTCATGTTTGTTTACGATGGAAACGGTCAACTCTAGTGTTAACATTTTTGTATATCTGAACATGAGCTCAAAGTACAGAGAAATGTTTATGAAGATCTTCAAAAGGTAGTGGACCTTAGATTAACCCCCCCCCCCCAAATGATCAGTTCGACGTGAATAATGACATTTGTGAACAGCTAGAAACAAAACGGATGTCGTCACGGCTGGATGAATGGCACGGGGAAGAGCTCCTCTCAGAGAGCCTGTTCAGAGTACTAACCAGCTGTTGTTTGATTCAGCAATATTTTTACTGCACTTGCAACTCTTTGGTTGTGACATGTTGGTTTAAAGAAGCAATCCAACCTTTAAAAAAAGAGGGCCGATGAAACCTTTTTTACAGTCCAAAATGCATATTGGAGGCTTAGAACACAAAGTTAAGCTGCCTTTTTTATATTATATGAAACTATCACACCCCCCCCCCTATTTTTCCCTTTTTGTGCTATTTCTTTGCTCAAGTCAGTCTGTCTTTCGATAACAAAAAAGTTAATGTCCAAACTGCCTCTTCCCAGCCAAAAAAACAAACTGAAACGAAAAAATAAACAAACACCCGCCTCCCAGAACCCCCCCCCCCCAAAAAAAAAAACACACAAAAAAACCAACAACACAAAAACAACAACAAAAAAAAAACCCAGCCAGCTACAAGAAACATTATCTCCAGCAAAAAGTATACAAAGAAAAATATGACAGGGGGGAGGGGGTGGAGACATTTGTATGGAGACTGAATAAACAGAAGTCTAAACAGAACCACACAGATAAATAATTCACAAATGAAGTGATGGCGCACAACGGGTGCCTATTCATCCCTGATAGACTGAAAGCTGTTTGAAAACACTGCTGTAATAGGCGCATCCAGAAAATGACAAGAGAGGATACAACAGAGA